TACTGCTACTGCTACTGCTACTGCTACTGCTACTGCTACTACGACTGCTACTACGACAGCGACTACTACTACTACTACTACTACTACTACTACAACTACTACTACTACTACTACTACTACTACTACTAGTAGCTACTCCTGCTGCTGCTGCTGCTACTACTACTCCTACTGCACTGCTCCTGCTCCTGCTCCTGCTCCTGCTACTGCTACTCCTACTCCTACTCCTACTCCTGCTACGACAGACACAACCACAAGATCAAGTACAACTACTGCGACTGCCGGGTCTAAGCCACTCCTGTTGCTGCTGCTGCTGCTGCTGCTGCAAAAAGGACGACGACGACGACGACGACGACTGCCACTAGCCACCGCCACTACCTTGCCCTTCCTGCCCACCCCTACCGCATGCCGCTTACCTCCTACTGCCTACTGTATCATTACCATAATACCACGACGACGACCACTCCTACTCCTACGGTGTAATTCCTCTACATACGACGAATCACGTTGGATCCAGTGATCCTTATGAATTGTGCATTATGTTGTTACATTGTCGCGGGTGAGATGATTGTTCCTGATCGTTGTGTTCGCTCGGACTTTCAGATTGAAGGCGTCAGAAGGAAAGTTGTTCTGCAGCGTCTGTAACCGGCTTGCATTGCATTGATGTTCAGTACTGGCCAGGCGCCAATCCACAGGTTGTCAGCCGTAGGAGCCCACCTACGAGCAATCACGGGGCAACAAGATGTTACCATTTAGCGCAGACAGCACCAGCTCGTCTGACAACGAAAACTGTTAGCTATGTTGGACTGAGACTGATGTTCTCAACTGCTGAGGCCCCTAGGCAATGGTTTGAAGCCGTTTTGCCGCCTTGTGTGGTCGGTGGTAGGAAGGGCCAAGACATCCCGGCAGTTTTGCGGTTTTGGGAGCACAAATCCTTTGAAAGTGCCTTCTTTGGGCACTTTGGACATGCGATCATCTGAAGCCTGCACGTGCTACGGCCATCATGGAGCACGCTGGGTTTTCGGGGTGTGTCGGAGCTTGCATGTGCAGCTCGTTTACGTCGACAACAGATCATGGGCTGCAAGCAACCCTTTTTTGGGCCAGACACCCGCCAAGCTAGGGTTTAAAGAGAATGTCTCAGAGGCTGTGGCAAGTGAAGGCTGCCAAGTACCTCCTGCGAGTCGCAGGTGTCTCATGAGTTTTCGCTGTTCCTGGAGTTGCGCTCAAAGGCAAGCCCAGGTGGCAAGATGAATGCGAAGGAGCGGAAAGAGTTGAGGCTGCCCATGTGCTGGCCGCTAGAAGCAAGGCTCTTCCGGTCAAGGTGCAAAGCTTTTTTGATCTCTTGCTCGTCGGCTGCTGTCGCGTCCTGAGGTTGGCTCCTGTCTGCTCCTCCCAAAGGTCAGTCGCAGAAGCTTGAGGTCGCTTGGAGGTCTCATGGCGTCGGCTTACGTCAGACGTCAGTTCCTCTCCTCACGCTTCTTTCTGGATACGCTCTGACTTGAGTTTCATGTCTGGCATGGCAGCTTTCGCGGCGTTTTAGCGTAGCGTGCAAACGTCGGGTTGTTCTTGCAAGGGTGTGTCCCTCGTTCTGGCCTAGCCAGGTCATGCGCAGGGTTCGGGAGGTGTGGAGGCGTAAGATGCGGGAGGAGCATTGTGCCCCCACTCCGCGCGAAGCGATGCCTTTCAAATTCTGTATGACGAGCAGTGTGGATCTTTGCGAGCGGATGGCAGCGTTTCGACTTCGTCGTCGTAGCTCTTTGGGTCAGCCGTGAACGAGCTTCTCTACCTCCAGACATTTGGACACAGTCACGACGGGCTGCCTGGTGCAGTGCGGAAGGTTTGAGCGATGAAGAAACAAGAAAAAGACACATAAGAACAAACACAAGAAAAAGATAATACTCCAGAGGTGAAGCAGCCTAGTCAAAGGAGCGAAGAGCCCGCTGCAGGCGCAGGCGGGGGGTCTTGGTTGGTTTGACAGGGTGCTTGTTTTGCTGCTGTTGGGCGTCGCTGATGCGTGCCAGAGCTGCTTCAACTGCTACCGGCTCACTCTGGGCCCTATAGTCTTCTCCAACATGTGCCGCCATGGCTTCTCAATGTGCGCAGTTTTCGAGATTGATTACAGCATGCGCAGGGATGTGGGAGACCGTCTCAAGTTGCCGTTTCGTGCACTGCAGACTAACAGGAGGCCTAGGCGTAGGCCTTCTTTGAAAGTGAGAGAGACCGCCATTTCGCTGCCCCCAACAGTGTCTGTCAAAACACTGCTGTTGGTGGCTGGGGGAAGAGGGTGCAGTGTTGGAAGAATGTTCTTGGTTTCAGTACTCGAAGGCGGCAAGGCGGGAGGGAGTGCCAAGTCCAAGCGGATATATATATATATATACATATATATATATATGTCTATCTGTATGTGTGTCTGGTCAGTCGAAGCAGAAAACATTTAACTGAGAGCTGCGTCCCCAATGCTAGTGTAACGCCTGCTCGTATTCGCTGTCATGCCCATCGGCCCAAGGTCCACATCGCCAGCGGCACTAAGTGGTAGCCTTCCACCATGAGTTAAGCACAGTGTCCCACGTAAGCAGACCCTGCCAATTTAGAGACCCCTGAGCACCAGGGCCTTTCGACTACCCTCCATCAGGGTGCCGGCTAATTTCACCAAGGGTTTTAGGTGTGTGGTAACACCAGCACGGCAGCATGGGCACACGGAAAGCGCGTGTGTGTCTGCTTGCGCAACCACCCAACAGCCACTCGAACTTTAATGGGGCTAAGAACGGAAACGAAGCTCAAGGCGACGTCAGCTGCTTCCTTGGGCCTTGGCGTGTTAGACGGTTCGAAGCTTTCACCACATAGTCACATAGTCTCATTAATATTTCCACCTTTGGTCCCTCTCCCAACCTTTGGATGACTGGATGTATTCATTGGCTTTGATGCGGTAGAAAACTCGTATGCGCCAGAAGTCATTGTTTTGTGCTGTGGCCCACTTGCTTCGTTTCTTCACAATACCTCAGTGAACTTGCGTCGCCTGGAAAGGGTAGGATCGGCAGTGGAAAACTTCGCGCGAGTACTACCAGGGTCCGCAATAGACGGACCCGAAATAGCACGATAAGTGTCACGGAGAGGCAGCCAAGGACGGAAAAGGAAGCCAGTGACGTTTGAAGGTGCCATGTCAATTTCAACAGACACTCGCATCGGCCCAGCAAGTGGGCGCCACCCCCTCCCCACTTACTTGAACTCTTTGGACCTCGTGACGAGCTGCACCGGTTTCAAAAATTTTAAGCCCTTGAACTCACCCAGGGCTCTGGTTGGCTCAGAGCTTTGGACTTGTCCGGGCTCCAGGTGCAGTCAGTGCCCGAGCCTTAAGTCTGGGCTTGAAAGCACCAGAAATCAGACTGTGTAGGACACGGCTTGCTGGCACGCTCTAGCGAGTGCTTCCGGTCAAGCATTTTCTGCCTGGGTCTCTTAGGAACCTGACGTTCTAGACAGGTCCATCTCATGGTTCGCAGGCATCTCACGTCTCCCATAAGGCAGCATGGCGAAAGTCAAGGGCAGCGAGATGAAGGTAGGGCTAGGCGCGCCTTGCTCGTGCGCCTCTGGCGCTGGCAGGCTGCAGCCGCTTAGTGTTGCAAGGTTTCAACGGAGTGCGTTCATTTCGTTGCTTTATATGCAAACTCTATTAACCCTGTAAAGTCTATAAGCCACTCGAGCGCCGAATCCTAAATCCCGGAATCGGTCAACCCAAGTGCAACTCCACACCTTCTCCAGAGTTCAGGGTTTAGGGTTTATTTGAACCCTTCCGTCTCGACTCAAGATTCCTGAAAGTTTGTTCAGACGGCATATTATGCACATCGCCACAGGGCTATTGGGCTTCTAATTACGAGGACTGCAGATGCAACATAGGGTCATGGGATCTTTGGGGGTGATCTGATAAGCAGATCTTCCACCTTAAGAGCAGACTTGCTGGGGATGGCGAAGCTCCGAAGGCCTTAGGCCTGGGCAACAAAACACCCTGCTGTTTTAGTGGCTATATCTCTTATAAGGCAGGGGTCATAATTATCTGTCGTAGAATAACGGGATCATAATTATATATATATATATATATATATATATATTAACCTACTAGCTTGAAGGGTTTAGGCTTTAGGCTTTGGGGTTACAGGCTGCACCTCACGGAAGCAAGCGGGGCTCATTCAGGCTTCCTCGAGGGTTTATTGAGGGTTTAAGGCAGAAGCCAGAAAGTTTGAGGCAAACGGATATATTCACCCATGTTTCAATTTTCTGGTGTTGTGTGGGGATTTAAGCGTTGTGACCAAGGGCCAAGGGTCGAAGCAACAGAAACCCTATAAGCCTTATGTACCTTACCAAAACCTTATAAAACCCTACAAAGCCCTATGAGACCCTATAAAACATTTGAAACCCTATCAAACCCAAACCCTATAAACCCCCTATGGAACCCGATGAAATCCGATCATGAACCCTTATGAAACCCTATGAAATCCTACAGGCCCCAAGCTGAAAAGGACGCCCGTTCGCAGAAGCGCCGCATTAAAAGTGTAGGGTGGCTTCTGGCAGAGGGTTTTAGGATTTTTTAGGGTTTAGGGTTTGGGTTTTTTGGGTTTTTTGGGGGAGTTAAGGTGTTTAAGGTTCAAAGGGTTTGAAGATGTCTCGAGGCTTCTTTTCAGACTCTCAAGCCCCAACCCCCCTTGGCCCTAGATTTTCAACGGTGTGGTCGGCCAGTTCTGTTTTCTGTTTTTACCACCTGAGGGTCCCTGGCTTGGGTGGAGTTTTCACATCTCTTGCCTGTGTGAGAAAATCTCAGGTGGTGTGGAAACATGCCTGAATTAGATGTTGATTCTACCTAAAACATCGGGCCTGTATAAGAGACTCGTATGATTATTGACCGAATGTGATGCGTTACATGCTTTCTGCAGCTCCAGTTACGCACGCAGTTTTGTCTCCCAAGCCCTGTTAAAGTGCCTTGCTCATCAGCAAGGCTCGAACCTAATGCCCGACAATCACTACATGATCTCACCTTTGCCTCTCAAGGAGTGGCGCTCGCAAAAGCGGAGAAGTCCCGGCAGGTGGTCATCCTCGGTGAGCCTGATAAACCGGCAGGGTGCTCAGGTTTTCGGCCTGTGCGTCACTGGTTCGGGAGGCAGCATTGTGCGGCATGACCGACTACAACTGCTATTTCTTTGAGGCCGCAGTGAGGTCTTGGGGCGCAAACCGCAAGGGTCTGAAGTTATTGTAAAGAGGCCCGAAGCTTGTAAAACTTTTCAATTTTCTAAAAACTTTATTTACAACCTTTAAAACTTTCACAACTATTTTTAAGCTTTCAAAAGGTTTTACACGTTTTAGAAGGTTTAAAAGTGTTAAAATTTGTACAAATCTTAAAACGTGTAAGCTTTTTGAAGCTTTTACAGAGGCCCACAGTTTTGAAAATTTTGAAACTTTAAAACCTTTACAGACTTAAAAACTTCACAACTGTTGCCATGTTGAAAACTTTTACAACTTTGAAAGAGGCCCAAAGGTTTTGAAACTTTGAAACAGCTAAAAACCTTCAAAACTTTCAACATTTTTAAACGTTTTCAACCTTTTACACGTTTGAAAAGTTTTAAAAGCTTTAACACTTTCAAAACATTTAAAAGTTTTAAAGGTTTTATGGTTTTTAAATTGAAAGCTTTAAAAGTTTTAAAAGGTTTGGGCCTCTTGACAGGTACAAGTTTTAAATCTTTTGAAACTCTGAAAATGCTTACAAATTTAAAATTTTTAAAGTTTATATTACTTGTAAAACTTGGACAAGTCCCAAAGCCTTTAGGACTTTTAAAGTTTTTAAACGCTTTAAAACTTTAAAACTCTTTAAAGGTTTTAAAGGTTATCAAAGTTTCAATCTTTTTAAAAGTTTTATAACTCTTGCAACGTTTACAGAATTGAACACTTTTGAAAGTTGTTAAGGTTGTAAAAGCTTCAAACGCTGAAAACTTTTAAACCTTTTAAAGTGGCCCAAAACTTTTCACACGTTAATCAAATTTACAATTAATTTTCAAACCTTTACAACATTTAAAGAAGTATTCAAGTTATTGAAAGTTGTAAGAGCTTTGGGCCTGTGTAAAAGTTGTAAAGGCTTCACAAGCTTTAAAACTTTCAATACCTTTAAAAGCAAGGAATTAGGTAATTAGGAATAAGGAATGCGAAACGAGACGAGGCCCCGGGTCAAATAGTAGATAAAGGGTTCTCTTACGTATATGTATACATATATATATATATACATACATATGTATATATATATATATATAATATTATTATTATTATTGTTATTATTATTATTCTCATGAATGCAAGCCTCAGCCGGGTTAGGGCTCAGCCGGGCCGCTCCGATTCCAGAGCAGGAAAGTCTCAGAAATCGAAGGACCGCGACTTGAGAACTCGAAGCGTCGATTGCCCGGCCCACAGTCAATTTTGGTTGGGCTTCGGGGTTTAGGGTTTAGGGCTTCGGGTGTAGGGCTTAGGATTTAGGGCTTCGGGTTTAGGTTTCAGGGGCTGAGAGTGTTGCACTACGAGAGTTGAAGCCCGCAGGCCGTTTATGGCATTTTTTAAACACATTACACGTTTTTGTTCGTGTATGTTTTACTAGCCTTGTGAATCTGTACACTGCCGTAGTGTCTGGCTCTAGCACTTGAACATCTCGAAAAGCGAGAATAGGGTAATTTTCCAGCCTAGCTAGACTGCCTTCGCCCGTGCCTTTGCTTGCCATGTTGCCCTCCGTGTCTAGCCTTGCTAGACCTTGTGCATTGCCTTTGGCCTCTGCACATGGCTTCCAGCCTAGTCGCACTGACGACATTGCCTTGGAATATTTTTTCCCAGTTCGCATCCTACCTTACGACTGGCATTGGCCTTCTCTTTTAGAGTGCTTCACTTTGCCCGCATGGCTTGGACCGCCTAATGCTATGCAGTTTTGCTGTTTTTACAAAGCTGTAGTATAGTAGTAGTAGTATTACTACTACTACTACTACTACTACTACTACGACTGCTACTACTACTACTACTACTACTAGTACTAGTAGGTAGTACTAGTAGTACTAGTACTACTAGTACTATTAGTACTACTAGTACTACTAGTACTACTAGTAGTACTAGTACTACTAGTACTACTAGTACTACTAGTACTACTAGTACTACTAGTACTACTAGTACTACTAGTACTACTAGTACTAGTAGCAGTACTAATACTACTAGTACTACTGGTACTACTAGTACTACTACTACTACTATACTACCACTGCTACTGGCACTGGTACTGGTACTGGTACTGCTACTGCTATTGCTACTGCTATTGCTACTGCTACTGCTACTGCTACTGCTACTGCTATTGCTGGTGCTACTGCTACTACTACTGCTCATTCTACTGCTACTGCTTTGATCATGAAACTTAGTGGACGTGTCTTTCAATCCAAGGGCAGCTAAGTTGGCAGATTCCAAGGCTTGAGGGTGCACCTGCAAACAAATTGCGAAATTGATGTAACCAGCGGCAACAACAAATGCTTTGTCGACCACGGCATGTCTACAGTATTCCGCCGTACAGCTTTGGTGGCTCGGGCCGGACTGCAAAAACAAGCAAGCACGAAAGACATTCTGGTCGACTGTGGAAGTCTTCGTTCGCAAAGCATTCGGAACCACTGCGGCTGCCCAAAACGGAGTGTTCATGGCCGAACACAGACTGATGAACACAATCGGCTTGAGTCGGCATGAGTTGCGTCAGAAACAACATAAACAATGGCAGCAAGAACAGATCAACAAGAGTTTGTGTTCTGAATTAAGCAAGCCGAGGCAATGTCGACATGAGAAGCAGCGTTTGTAGCTCAGCGGGTTGACGCCCTTGAGACGGTTTGGGTGCGGCAAAGCCGATGTCCGGATGCAAATGTTTCAGCAACGCTGCGAAGATGCAAAATGGCTTTCATGGTGCTTTCGTCGTGCTGCTCCTAAGTAATTACCTGCTAAGATTTCGGATGAAGTTTGTATTTGAGTCACGGCATGTCGAGTTGGGCACCTTCGATCTGAAGGGGACAGCAAATCATGTGAGACTCAGTCAAAAGTATTAACATGTTGCAGCATGCGAGCGTAACACGGTATGTGTCGACATCCAGCCTTCCTAACGGTTAGCATCATTCTTGTTCACCAGTACCGAATATATCCGCATGCGTTTGTTTACATGCAGGCAGCCAGTGTATCCGAGTGTGCGCGAGACATACGAGACGCAAGGATGTCCTTCCGGATTAAACTTCCAGTTGCAAGCCTTGCACCGGTGGCGATGTGTTTGGCTCAAGTTAGTGACGGCATCATACTGAGAAACTCGATAGCGGCATCTAGTTGTAGGCTTGGCGAGCGGATGTTCGTATGGTGTGCAAGTGTTGACCAAAGTATGTTTTATGCAGTTGTGCAAAGGTTCCTGTTGTTTTCGCTTTTGCCTTGTCGTAGCTTCAATGTCATGCGACTGAGATCCGTGAGCCCGTCTTCACCAGGGTGCTTCGTCTACACTGGTTTTCAATAGATGATAACCAGAAGACGAGCCAGTTGGTACCAAGTTGGTACCCTCGACTGTCGCTGTCAGCAAGCAGTAGCACAGATGCTGCTTCTGCAGTTCTAGTTGTGGGACGACGGCCGTCTTTCAGTTGTTTCTGAATGGCGCCCCCAGCAGTGTCTCGGGGTGCTGTGGCACATGACTTCGGCAGCTGATGTGGAAGCTGATGTCGATCATGTTGGCGATACTGGTTTCCAAGCTGCAGCTGTTGCAGCTGCTTTAGCTGGTAATTATGATTGATGGCGATCAAGTTGATGATGCAGGTGCGGTTGACACGGACGACGCTGTGGTAAAGGTCAACATAACCACCGCTCGAAGTATCTGTAAATGTTGTGTTATGGTGAACTGTTTTGCTGGCTCGCTTGATGATGGCAATGCTGGCGTGCACGCCGTGTCGGTACAGTTGGGTGAGTGAGACAAACTGGTGAGGTATCGTGTGACATTTGTCGATGGGGGCTTTGGTGAAGATGATGACGATCATGATGAGCCCGAGGATGAACGAGCGGGTGATGATGCTGATGATGACGATGATGGGGATGATGATGAAGGCCGGGTGACATTTGCGACGCCTTTCTTAAAGTGCGGCTTCTACTGTAGGTAGGGTTTTTAAGTTTCAAGGTTAAGTGCTTTGGGCTAAGGGTTTTGAAACTGAATTTGCAGTCTGCAGGATATTTCTTCTGCGTTTGCGCAAGATGGCATACAATCCCATGTTCTGCCTTTATACTCAACAATCTCGCCAACTTGGTGACGAGCACGAGAAGATTGAGGATGATTATGGGGTTAATTACGAATGAGGATGAAGACTGGGACGATGCTGCTGCTGCTGCTGCTGCTGCTGCTGCTGCTGCTGCTGCTGCTGCTGCTGCTGCTGGTGATGTTGTTGTTGTTGTTGGTGTTGTCGAGTTCTATCAAGAAGATGATGCAGCACATCACATTTCATACTGTGTTTCGATGTTTACAGTCATAGTGTTAGTGTAGCTGATGAAAGAGAGATGGTTGTCTTAGGTGATGATGGCAGTGGTCATGCTGACATATCATTGTGTGTACAAGTCGTGGTTGGTCCGACGATGATCCAGCACTGCCGGCTTGCGTCCGTACTGTGCATTAAGAAAGTACCATGTCTCTTTCCAAGTCTTTCGCTTGCGGACATCCTTTCACCAGGTGCTACAGCACGTTCCTGAAAGCGCAGGACCACCATGATCCACAGATATGATCCACCTCCGATATGCCTCCCCTGTTAGGAAGATGCTGTCTTCTCCGCTGCAGGAAGAATCGCCAACATTGGTCCTTGCTCATGCACGGATCGGCGATGAAGGCGGATGCTTTCCTGCCAGTTTTCTCCTGGTGGTGAGTTCCTAGCATGGCTTTTGGAGCACTTCTGGCCCTCTACCGCGAACCAAGAGTGTCGCTGTAACAATGCAACTCACCTGCACGTTGTCATTCCTCCTCGCGCCACTGGCTCTTAGTCTGTGGTCGGCAGCCAGAGAGGTGCACGCGAAATTGCGGAGTTTGCCAGCAAGAGTGGCTTGTCTACAGCGGCTTAAAGCGCAAGTCTTACTCCTTTTCCACGCCCGCTTGACACTCCAGGTGTGCACTTGCGTCTCTTGGACCTCACTGGTTGTGGCATTACGACGGGGCCCCTGCTTGCCGGGGAGCTCAAGCCTTCGGCATGACTTAACTGCCAGGTCGACTGGAATGCTCCAGATCGCGGAAGCACTGCAGCCGGAAGCCTGCTCTCTTTTGCCGTTTTGTGGCGTATGTGGCGTGTTTGCTTTGCGTAGTCCAAGTCCAAGGTGTAGCCTGACTTTGGAAAGCCTGATTCTCCGGCACAACGAGATCACTTCTGGGCCTGCTGGTGAGGAGCTGGGGTAATGCTCCTGTGCTGCTAGGTTCAAAAGAAACTATGGGTGTCAATGGGCATGTTGAGCTCTCCGAGAAACAAGGAGGCTTTGGCGTCCTTCTGCCAAGCTGCGCAGAACAGCCCCTCCTTGAGGCACGCTAGAGTCCGTTGGGCACGGATCCGTCCACGTGTCCACGTCTGACGCAAGGCACCTGGATCTCCGCTACACCGGGCTCTGTGGCGAGGCCGCCACTCTCCACATCGCCTCGATTCTCGAGGCGTTCCAAGCACCGCTGCCATCGTGCCAGTGATTGCCAGAGCCACAGTGCTGTGGCTGCGTGTTTTTTCCTCCCCGCCTCTCAGGGCAACGGGGCTTTGTCACATCTGGAGCTTTCTTGGAACCCGCTGGGAGCTTCTGCTGGTCAGGCGAGGGGAGGGCCGCTGCCGCTGTCTGTCTCTCCCTGCAGAACCTGTGACCCAGGTCCTTCTGAAAAGCATTCGTGCCACTTCGGGGCTTTTCGATTGCCAACTCAGTGGCTGCAGGCGCTCTCTCCTCCCAGCCCCAAAATCTCCTGCTCTAGCCTGCCTCAGGCTAGCTGATGAGACCATGCAGGAGATAGCCGAGCTGTTGGTTCGGAACAGAAGGGTCCGTCCCGCATTTGATGTGTCCCCAACGTGCAATGTCCATTTTGCTGAAAGTTGTGACTGTTCGAAGGGTTCGTATTCCGTCCCAACTTGTCCGGTGACGGCATTGGACTGTGAATGATGGCAGGCGCACGGAGAGAAGACATCTGTGGGTCCGTACAAGGCTCATATTGACACTCTGTGAAGGACTCTCGACATGAAGACATGTGCCTTTGTGCTTGATGCTTAACCCGTCCAGGGTCTCGGCCGAACGGCCAGATGTTTCTTGCAACCCTGCTGGCTGCAGGGATCATGGATTCGGAACGATGCTGCACTGGAGGGGTTCTCTGATGGCAAGGAGCGTGTGCTGGCCTCAGGATGCGAACCATGTCAGGGCTGGTAGCTTTGAGCTTCTTTTCCTAAGTGGTATCCTCGATGTCTCATATCACGGCGGGTCCAGCTCATTGTTGCAGGCATACACCTGATGCACCAATCAGGTTGTGGCTCGGGCAGGATTGGAACGGGTGGGAGCTGCTCAAAACACCGGACACGCACGGAGTGGAAGGTCGCATGGGGCCAGAACGGTGCAACTGCGCCGGCAAGAAAATTTCTGAGGTTTTCTGAGGAGAGATTCTTCGTTGGTTGTTGCCTAACAGCTTGGATCAACGGTTCTTTTTGATTATCCGGTCAGCATGTGGATCATGTGTCTTTGCGAAAGTCTGCGATAAGGCCATGCCACCAGGTTCACGCAGCCAGGGACAGGCCAGGTCACTTGGGACATGTTTCTGTCATGTGCCGGGTTCCTGCATCTAAGGACTTTAGGAGGGACCCCTAAAAGGGACCCTTAATCCCATTACTGTATAAGGACCAGGTAGTCTTCATATAAACCCCAATATCCTACAAGGGTCCCGATTAAGGGTCCCTCCTAAAGCCCTTAGAAACGAAGTTGTCGGGCAAAGGCTCCATCAAGTTGCGTTCCGCTGTTGTGCCCACTGCCCCCAGTCTCTGCCATGTACTTGACCGAGCTGTAGACTCCAGACACATCCTGCCAATGTAGTCATTTTTTGCGGGCGCTGTGGTTGGCCCAGAATGACACCCACACTCCTCTTCAGGGGAATCGCTTCAGCTTGTCTTGACTTTGGAGTTGAGAAGCCGTTCGTCAAAGCGAGCAAAATTACAGAGCAATCGTGCTTCGTCCCGTAGATAAGCTTGCATCCTTTGAAAAACAAGCAAACGCATCTTAACATGTGCAACTAGGTAGTTATGATGTTGTGGGATATGTTTAGGATTCATGCTACCGGCGAGTCCTTCGAAGCGGATGTTGCATTCGTTCATGCCCTTTGCCATGGTTTAGATTGACGCCCACTACAGCTGTCGTAAACATCACGAAAGCTGTACAGCTCAATGGAGCTTGCTGGAGTTGTCGTTTACCAACTCACCTAAATAGTGACCCAGGTCAGCATCGTGTCCAGGACCTTATCTGGTCCTTTTACAGTAGACAAGGAGGGCAGGGGCGGGCCCCAAACACACCACGCACATGATTGACTCAGAGGGTAGCAAGGTGGGGGGGGGCCTCTGTTTAAGCAACATGGCAACTTTTTGTCTTTCCGCGGCCGAGTGCGTGTCTGTCGCAAGTTTCAAGTCTGATGCCTCAGTAATTAGTTGAGCTTCTACCCGAACAGTTCGAAGCTACTCGCAGATGGCCGAGTTCATACTTGTGCAGGGACAAGCGGAGCGCAATGAGGTTGGTCCAGGTGCTACGACAAGGGTGCATCTGAAACGTAGAAGACTACTAGCATCTTATAAATTTCTAACTTCATAACAACACTTATGTGCTTTCTGTTCGTAGTCTTAGAGAAAGTATTGTAATTTCCAGACGGGCTGAGACCTCGTCTCTTTCTCAAAGGGCCAGTCCAAACGGTGCCACAAAGAAAGCGATAGCCCGTGATTTCATGTCGATCTAGATCATGCGCTGCTCTGGCAGTCCGAGCTGTCCGTACCGTGTTGGATTTTGTTGACGCATTTGCTGCACCATGCGCCACGTGCCACCAACCATTCGAGCTCGGTCAGCTCGGGCCATGCACGAGCTCTCTCTTGAAGGGCGGGAAAGTTGCATGCACAGAGCTTCCGCAACCGTTTTTGAGCAACTACACACAGGCATTAGCAGAGGTTGATCCGGCAGTGTTGGTCAAAGAAGGGCTTTGACTTAATGAGTTAACAACTGAACAGTTTCTGAACCAAGCTGCATTTCAGAACTTAGACCAAACCAAGGATTTCCTCTTGCAAAGGTCTCAGGTCAGCGGTGTCATCAATGGAAAGCTAAAAGCCGGAGGGAGGTTAGCTTTCTGTTGCCCGAATCACCGGCAACCGTGCAAAGTCTAGTACAGACAAATTTGCTTTCTAGAGGTGTGGTAGCAAGAGCCGACACGAATGCTTAAGCTAAGCCCAATGTCTTCTTCGGATGGGTGCGAGGGGATACGCATCAAACAAGCAAATGGGATCAACAAAAATCAAGGAGAGATCGAGGAGAAATTAATTGGGACCATCCAACACTTTTAAATTCTGATGTGCTGTAAATTACAGCCGTGAACACCCACAATCTCCTTTTCCGTCTCCCCCGGGGCCCGTCGCAGCCTTCTG